TGTGTGTGTGTGTGTTGTGAGGAGCAGCTCCGTGAGGAATGTGGCACAGAGCCCCTCAAACCATTAGCAACCCGGAGGTCGCAAAGAGGGGTTCTGATCAAAATGTCATAAATCGGGATGGACCACATATCAAGGCTGAGTCCGTCCTGCAGTGCACCCAGTGCCGTCCCTCCTCTCTCTCCCCTCCTTTCCTGTCACTCTCTACTGTCACTAAAGCGTACTGCCAAAGGAAAGGGTAATAAACGGCTAAAATAATAGAAGTAAAATAGTCCCTCAACTACTGTTGCCCTGCCCGTGAGCAAGGCAATAAACCACCAACTTTTCTCTGTCTGTCTCTTCCTGGGGCCCCTTCTGTTTGTCTGTGGTGTGATCCGACCATGCCTCAGGTCGATCCACAGAGTCATGCCACAGTCTCAGTTATTGACCTCTCAGCCGGTCTTAACTCCATTTCATTCTGCAGGCCTTCACTGATCCGCATACTGAGACACATTTAAGCCCCCACCCCCCTTAAAGGCTTTTTGGTGTGTTGGGTAAATACAGATCATTGTTTTGTTTATAGTTCCACATTTCAGGTTCTCCAGACTGTCTGGTTACTTGCCTGCAGAGCAATAATGCAGACAGACGGATTTGGCCTTTTTTTTTGTCTTAACCCAGTTCTTTCTCCCTGTTTCTCCAGGTGGCACAGATGGTCTTCTTCCAGAAAATTCCTTCAAAGGGTCAAAATATGAGTTTGGCAGCCTCGGCTTGGCCCTCTACAGCGGCCTTTTTGCCTACGGTGGCTGGTGAGTTAACACATCCACCTGCCTGTGTGATCATGTTCCACTGCACTGCCCATTGATGATCCAGTTTCCAATTTAGGATCAGACAAATTCATCATTCATGATTAATTTGTTAGTGCCCCAATATGGTCGAAGGATGGAAACGAACATATAGAAACAATGGATCATTAGTCAATTAAATAGAAGACTCTTGAATGTTCACCCAGCCTACCTTCTAGATTGTAACTAGATTGTGAGTTTATTCCCCTGGGGATCAATAAAGTCTCTCTGAGTCTCTATTTCTTGTCTTTTCTAAATAAAGTTGATTTTTTTTGTGTGTAAAAGTTGCAGGTTTGCTACCTAACTGGACAATGTCTTTGATTGTTGCTTACAGGAACTACTTGAATTTTGTCACTGAGGAGATGATTGAGCCTTACAAGTGAGTGTTAATAAGTGACTTGTATGCTTTTATGATCAAATACAGACTGGTCACTGGTTGTAACTAAGAGTGTTTGTGTATTTTCCCCAGGAACCTTCCTCGTGCCATCATCATCTCTCTGCCCATTGTGACAGCGGTGTACGTTCTGACCAACCTGGCATATTTCACCACCCTCACCCCTGAGCAGATGCTCGGCTCACAGGCCGTGGCTGTGGTGAGTGCACACACTTTGAGCTTCTTTCTTCGTATAAACAGCGCCGAACACAGCAGATACATTTTACTATTTAGTGACCTTTTAAGCTGAACACACAGACCCAGAGATCATAAATGTTTTCCTTGTAAATCATTGATCAGTTGCCTAAATCATAGCTCTTTGGCTTCCCTCTGGATATGCTCTACTTATACAACATGTAGAGTTATTAGCAGAGTTAGAGCCAGCATTTCCAATGTCAACATTTTACTGTGGTCAGTATATTTCAGATAAAGTAAAGCTGCACCAATGTATGGTCATCAAATTTAACTTCAGCAAATTTATGCCACTGACCGATTGAAAAGCGTCTGAACAATATTTCAATGCTTTCTCTCTTTAAGACTTTCTGGTGTGACTGCATCTACTACTACTAGACTTATTTACACATCTGTACTGTGTGTGTGTGTGTGTGTGTGTGTGTCCTCCAGGATTTTGGTAACCAACACCTAGGTCCGATGGCATGGATCATCCCGGTGTTTGTAGGTCTGTCCTGCTTTGGATCAGTCAACGGCTCTCTGTTCACATCATCCAGGTAACACACACACATTTAGTCATTTGTGTGGAGTAACCAGGTTTGGGGAAACAGTCAGAGCTCAAAAACACCTGCACAAACATCAAGAATGTATCTGTTCATACCCAGTGTCCATGTCTTTCCTTTCCCATCAGGTTATTCTTCGTGGGTTCCCGGGAGGGTCACCTGCCCAGTTTGCTGTCAATGATCCACCCCACCCTGCTGACCCCGCTGCCCTCATTGATATTCACTGTATGTACTCTAATTTACTGTACACTGAAACACCGATATCTTACAATATAATAGTATATAACTTTTTTTAGTCCTTTAAATCAGGAGGGGACCACTGCAGTGGTGATGGGAGTATTGGGATAATTCTGCTTTTGCTAACATTAGATAACTTGGATGTGATTGTATGTTGCTTTTATCTTTTAACTATCTTCAACATTTTTATTTTCAACATAGATCAACCTAGCACATCTATCTATCTAAGCGAGGTTCTGACAGACTTCTGTTATTGGAGCGCAGAGCAAAAAGGGGCGGGGCTTAGGAAGGAAAGCATTTTGTTTTTGTTGCAGGGCATCCTCAGCAACAGAGTTAGTGTGTATGTGTAAAGCACACAGCTTTACCAGAAAGAAGATTTGCATTGCTCTCCTAATTGCTTTTTTCTGTCCAGTGCTTGATGACGCTGCTCTACGCCTTCTCCAACGACATCTTCTCCGTCATAAACTTCTTCAGCTTCTTCAACTGGCTCTGCATCGCCATGGCAATCGTCGGAATGATGTGGCTCCGTTATAAGAAGCCAGAGCTGGAGCGACCAATCAAGGTGAGCTTGACGTGATGGAGTCAACCAGTCAGAATGAAAGAAAGAAACAAGCAGTACTGGTGTATGGGTTAGGCTTGTTTCCCCGATGTTCTGATGATGATCATGGACAGACACACACAGACAGTGGGAGACAAGTGGACATGAAAGTCTTTGTCACCATCAGCTCCCACTCGAGTTAGCTTTGGCAGCAGGAAATGTTTCTTCTTTGGCTCGTCCGACCAACAAAGATCCATTCAGCAGAGCTCAGATGAATAGGGACTGATCGCAGATTAACAGACAGAAGAGAAGCTGGATGCTTGTCAGCTGGTGTTGAGGCCTGCTGGGTAGAAGTGTGTGAATGTGTGTGAGTGTGT